CTGGAAAACAGCTTTGCTTTGATCCCAGAGCAGGAAATCTATTGAATTCTACCAGAGGTGGTATTCAGCAGGTTCTGACCAGTTCTGGAGAACCAGTAGCGGAAATTTTGAGTAGTTCAAGAACCGGCCAATCCCACCTCTGACTGGCCCCACCAACCCCATCTCTTCTCTGCCTCCCATTGAGTCCCAGCTGATCGGCAGGGTCTTCTTTGGTTGCCCTGCACAGGAGAACGGAGCTGGAAAGCAGGTTGGTGAGGTGGGGAGGGAAGGGGGATTTTGCAGGATCCTTCCCCTGCCATGCCCACCAAGCCACGCCCACAGAACCGGTAGTAAAAAAAAAATTGAATCTCACCACTGAATTCTACTGTATAGTGCAGCATTAATGCACTATCAGGGGTTTTCAATCCAATTGTATAGAATGTGAAGGATGTGTGTTTTATTTTTATAGTTATAACTTACACTGAAGATGGCATTTAATTTCATTGTACAAGGTGCAATGACAATAAAGTAAACTAAACCAAACTAAACTAGTGAAGGCAAATATGGTGCCAGCTTTTTTTTTTGCGGGAGGGACTAAAATCATGTTTTGGCAAGTCAAACCATCCTGCCAACCGTTTCCTCCCAAAGAAAGCCATCGGTCTGAACATCTCTTGAGATGGGCATTCCTTAATGCTTAAACTACTTCTGCATTGAGGGCTTCTTGGGCAACCCAGCCGGGTCTTCCAAGCCAAAATAAACATGGCATGGCATTCCACAAGCACTTTATGAACATAGTTCATAAACATAGTTCATAAAGTGGATGGTGGAGGGTGTGGCAGCTTCATCTTGAGACCAGGTTTCTCCGGCTGGGTGAAAGGAACATCTGCAGATCTTGGGGTGCGGTAGACAGCAGATCCTTACCCTCTAACTGTGCAGAGCAGAGCTCCACTTGGTTGTGGGTTTGGCACAAGTTGGCACTCTTAAAATTTCAAGAAGAATCTTCCACATCGTTCCTAGCCAATTTGCAGTGCCGGAGAAAATTGACAGGTCTCAGCTCCATCAGGGAATTTCAGTAGCCTGCAACAAAAGAATAAGAACGCCAGCCTTGGGTCATAATTGCCCCATTATTTACAAATTATTTGAACCTTGATTGGTTAATTAGTTGTGTGAATTTAAAAAAAGAAAAAGAAAACAGAAAGGAATGGGGGAATTGGCTGGGCTTATGTGAGGAAGGAAGCAAGCAAGCTGCTATATAATTAGCCCAACAGCATGCAATTAAATTCTTATTAATACCCTCAAACAGCAGGGACCATTCAGGCCTGTAATTACTTTTGAGAGAGAGAAAGATTGAGCTGTAGCAAAACCGACTGGCGGTTGCGAGACAAGTCCTTAGCTGCGCTTCTTCCTCTCCACAACTTGGGAGGGAATACGAAGTGTGTGCAAACGACACGCTTAGCCGCCGAGATTCAAGCACGATCATGTTAAGGAAGAGAACAGAGATGGCCTTGCCAAGACTAACATATCGGTCGACTGCCTGCTGGATATTTTTTCTCCCCAACTGCCTGCAATTGAAGCCCACTTCTGGAGTTGGCGGGACCCATTCTCCAAGGCCGCTCCCCATCTAAGGCTGTCCCTCCGTAAAAACATGGCTTTGTAAGGAGAGCCAGTTTGGTCTAGTGGTTAAGGCATCAGGTTAGAAAGCGATGGATGGAGAGTTCTAGTCCCACCTTAGGCATGAAAGCCAGCTGGGTGACTTTGGGCCAATCACCAGGAACCTGTGAGTTCTAGTCCCGCCTTTGGCATGAAAGCCAGGTGGGTGACTTTGGGCCAATCACCAGGAACCTGTGAGTTCTAGTCCCACCTTAGGCATGAAAGCCAGGTGGGTGACTTTGGGCCAATCACCAGGAACCTGTGAGTTCTAGTCCCACCTTAGGCATGAAAGCCGGCTGGGTGATTTTGTGTAAATCACCGGGAGCTGGTGAGTTCTAGTCCCACTCAAGCTAGGAAAGCTGACTAGGTGACTTTGGGCCAGTCCTTTTCTCTCAACCCAACCCGCCTCACAGGGTTGTTGTTTTGGGGAAAAATAAGAGAGGGAAGGTGGTTGGATATGTTTGCCACCTTGAGTTCATTGTAAAAGTAATAAAGGTGGGATACAAAGAAGTATTAATACTAAATCACGTTTCACAAAAACGATAAGCTGAGCCAGCAGTTAAATCTTGGGCTGACACAGTAATGAGTTTCACAGTGTGTCTGGAGAAACTTTCCCTCTGGCCTGGATCTGATCAGACAAAGCAAACCATCATTTGCTGTTAAAAGATGCCTCCTTTCCATTATCTTTTTGAGCATGTGTTCAAAGAGGAACTGGTAGTGATCTCCTCTGAAAGGTCTGTAGCTGGACGCATGGCTCCCGGATAACCCCCATTGCTTCTGGGGGGCTAAATCAGTGGTGGGATTCATAAAAATTGACTACCGGTTCTGTGGGCGTTGGTGGGTATGGCATGGCTTGGTAGGTGTGGCAGGGGAAGATACTGCAAAATCCCCATTCCCTCCCCGCTCTACTAACCTGCTTTCCAGCTCCGTTCTCCTGTGCAGGGCAACCAAAGAAGACCCAGCCAATCAACTGGGACTCAATGGGAGGCAGAGAAGAGATGGGGGGCGGAGCCAGTCAGCGGTGGGATTTGCCGGTTCTCCAAACTACTCAAAATTTCCACTACCGGTTCTCCAGAACTGGTCAGGATCTGCTGAAGACCACCTCTGGGGCTAATCCAAAGACGGGAGCAAGGGTCTGCATGGAGGCACAAAGACCAAAATAAGTTTACCAGGTCTCTTCACTGCCTTCTGAGTTCTGACTCTTCTCAACTTTGCAACTTTGGCTGAGGATGATAGGGTCCCCGTTCCATAACAGCTCTGGCGAGAAATAAGAAAGAATTCTTCCTCCCAGGCCAAGATGGTGGTCTTTGGATGGTCTCTGGACCAGCATCTTTAGATAGAACGTGCCATCTGGGTGCGAATCAAGGATTCCAACAGATGGAAAACAGTTCTTCTAATTTTTTAGCTTTGAGCCTTCAAAATCAGGCTTTTTGGTGGGGTGTTAAAAATATTTGAACAAGCAACAGGCTGGGATGGAGCGTCTGAGCTGGTACCATTCCATGAGCATTTAAGAGCAGGGTGACCACCCCCCAAAAAAACCATGAATTTGGAGCCCTGGCACCAAGGCTTGAAGCTAAACATGGGGGGAGCTGGATTTTCTTCAAACCAAACCTAATTTCTTTTCCTTCTGCTGCTTTTAGTGAGAAAGGGTAGGATAGGAAGGGATCATTTTAACCAATACAAGAAACGGGCTGGCTGTGCTTGGACATTGCAGCCTGACATTGGCACAGCCAAATATAGAATGTTTCAAATTAATTTCATGATTTCTCGCAGTTTTGAATTGCTAGCTTTGGAGGGGGTCGAGAGATGCCAGTTGGCGTGCTGAAATCTGTCAACTAACTAGATAGAGCAAACCAAGAAATCAATTCCACGATAAGGCTAAAACTACCTTTATTGATATTGGCCAGGTGTGAGGGATGTGAGTACCTACAGAGGGGGAGGAGGGGTGATGCAAGTGGCCGTTTCCCAGGAAGGACGGAGCATATTCCAAGGCTAGGGATGAGCCAAGAAACAACACAACCAGAAGCTGGATCAGAGACAAGAAGAAGAGAGTTAGGATAGCCACTCCCTATAATCTTCCAGTGTATATTTGTTAGGGTAAGAATAATAGAGATCTAATCCTGCAAGATTCTGTCTATTGGATGTAAGCAAATAAATACCTGAACTTTGGCTGGATTGTTCTAGCCAAAATCACTTAGATCAGCGTTTTTTTTTCAAATCTTGGCCGCTTTAGGATCGGTGGACTTCAACTCCTAGAATTCCCCAGCATGCTGGCTAGGGAATTCTGGGAGTTGAAGTCCACACATGCTGCCTAGAGAAATCTGGAAGTTGTCCATTTGTCCTCGTTGGGAAATTCTGGAAGCTGGAATCCATGTATCTTAAAATAGTCAAAGTTGGAAAACATATAGAATCTACGTCATTCTTGGGCTGGGCTTGACATTTTCATCATCATCATCATCATCATCATCATCATCTTTTAATGACCCCATAAGCCCTTGCACAGTGGAGTCTGGGCAAGTGAATGGAGCTAGCAGAGTGTTTGAATGGCCGGATGCCCTTCCTGTTACCAATACAGAGTTTTGTTCAGCAGATATATTCTCACAGAGCGAAATATCTGCCTCTACCTAGGATCAAACTCGCAGCCTTCTGATTGTGAGGCAGGAGCTCCACCTCTAGGCCACCATACTACTCCTTGGGCTGGACTTGATATCATAGTAACAAAGTCTTGTAGGTCCGACTATGCTTGACTTGCATCCCATCCTTGTATCACACACCGCCGACCTTATACTCATGTGAGTTAGGAAGGTGTTTGCCTAAGTTTTTTGTGTGCATATACCTTCTTGTTTTAAACTTCAGTCATGTTTTACCTCTTGTTACTTGGATAACAGATCTGGCCTATCTCTTTCAAACCATTGGACTGGGCAAGATTACAGGTCAACCTCACCCAGTGGTAGGATTCAAAAATTTTTACTACTGGTTCTATGGGTGTGGCGTGGCTTGGTGGGCATAGCAGGGGAAGGATACTGTAAAATCTCCATTCCCTCTCCACCCCACTAACCTGCTTTCCAGCTCCGTTCTCCTGTGCAGGGCAACCAAAGAAGACCCAGCCAATCAGCTGGGACTCAGGAGGCAGAGAATAGATGGGGTTGGCGGGGCCAGTCAGAGGTCGCATTGGCCGGTTCCCCGAACTACTCAAAATTTCCACTACTGGTTCTCCAGAACCGGTCAGAACCTGCTGAATACCACCTCTTACCCCACCCAATTAAAAGCCCCTCTTGTTCGATGCAGTTGGCATGAGAACTCCTACTCGCTTGCCGCTAGGAGTTGGGAAATGTCCATCCCTTCTCACCTGTTCCATCTCTTCCTTGCAGCCTGTAACTGCAACCTCCATGCCCGACGTTGCCGTTTCAATATGGAACTCTACAAGCTGTCCGGACGCAAGAGCGGTGGTGTCTGCCTCAACTGTCGGCACAATACGGCCGGGCGGCACTGCCATTACTGCAAAGAGGGCTTTTACCGCGACGTGAGCAAATCTATCTCCGACCGCAAGGCCTGCCGAGGTAAGGAACAAGTGGGGTCAACCAGTATGGGGGGCTCCGCAAAGAGACCAAGCAGGATGAGTTGAACTGTACGCTGGGCAGCATAATCCACTCAAGCAGAATTGGAACCACTTAGATCAGGGTTTTTTCAACCTTGGTCACTTAAGGAGGGGTGGGCTTCGACTCCCAGAATTCCTCAGCATGCTGGCTAGGGAATTCTGGGAGTTAAAGTCTACACAGGTAGTCCTCAACTTACAGCAGTTCATTTAATGACCATTCAAAGTCACAACGGCACTGGAAAAAGGGACTTATGATGTTTTTTCACACTTATGACCATTGCAGAATCTGCATGGCCACATGTTTTACACTCCAATGCTTGAATGCTTGTCAAGTGCTTCATATTTATGACAGTTGTAGTGTCCCCAGGTCACGTGATCCCCTTTTGACAAACAAAGTCAATGGGGGAACCAGATTCACTTATAACAACTGTCATGTCCATGTTGGAGACTGACTCTGAGGGAGAGGAGGAACAGCCGACAGGGAGTGGAAGTGTGGCTCCGGAGGTTGTGGAGGAGGCTGGGGAAGGGCGCAGGATGGTTGGGCAATCAGAGGAAGACCCAGGCCCATCCCCTCTCCATCCTAGGGCACGCAGGGAGGAGTGAATAAGGGAGAAACGTGAGTGGTGTGGTCTATGGGGGAGGAAAGGGCCTTGATCCCCTTCATGGGCTGCAGCTGTGAGGACTATTTAAAAGGACGGACTGTGCATGGGCCAGTGCTGGAAACAAAGCGTGAAAATATTTCTAGTCTGTCTGTTCTTACCTGAATTTGGCGTCTTTCCCAGTGTATATTCTGATATCTGTGGACATCTTCAAGCCCTTATCTTGCCTGGTTCCCTTAATTGCTTCAGTATGGTTTGTGTTGTTTTTGCTATTTACAATTTATAGGTATTTTAGTTTAAACGGCATTTCCTCCTTTTTGCAACCGTTTGTGGGGGAGTTTTTTGTCTCCAGTCAAGGATAGTTGGAGCTTTGAAGCCAAGTTGAAGGAATAAAAGGGGCTTCACCTGTTTTTGTGACTTTGTTTATTTTGTATCCCACCCTGGGTCATCACAACAACCATGTTACTAATTTAACAACTGCATCAACTCAACTTAACAAACATGGCAAGAAAAGTTCCTAAAATGGGACAAAACTCACTTAACAAATTTCTCACTTAGCAACATAAATTTTAGGCTCAATTGTAATCGCAAGTTGAGGACTACTTGTAATTGCAGGCTGGGGAGTTCTGGGACTTAAAGAAGTTTATACATGCTGACCTGGGAATTCTGGTTGAAATCTACATGCGCTGCCTATGGAATTCTGGAAGTCTTGTATACTGTATGTGCTGGCTGGGGAATTCTGGAAGCTGGACTCCACCCATCTTAAAATAGCCAAGGTTGGGAAACACTTAGGTAATAATAGATAATAGAATTCTTTATTGGCCAGGTGTGATTGGACACACAAGGAATTTGTCTTGGTGCAAATGCTCTCGGTGCACATAGAAGAAAAGATACATTCATCAAGAGTCAAGAATCATCAGGTGCAACACTTAATAATAGTCATAATCTCACTTGAAAATCCAAGAGCTGAGATTCAGTAAGATTTTTTTTTCAATTGTGAAAGCTCTAGTCATTTCAGGAAGTGCAATGAATGGAGCATTAGTCTTACAAATGTTGTTGTGTTTTCCTTTTTTCTGCTCACCTAATATTAGTGACTGTTTAACTTTTGAGCAAGCTGGTCCGTTTGCATCTGAAATGGCCAGGCTTATTTTAACTTGTTCTGAAGTGACATTGGTGGCCATAATTTCCAGGGCCAAGAAACTCCCTTTCTTCTGCTATTCAGCTGAGCCTAAATAAGCCAATATTGAGGACTACAAAAACGACAGAAGCTGATATGCACATTGGTCTACCATGAATGGTGCTTAGGGTTGGTTCCCTGGGTTTTGTGTCGCCTCCTACCAAGCTTTAGGCATAGCTTGGTAGAGGAGCTTTAATCCACGTGTGTGTCTGTGTGTGTGTGTGTGTGTGTGTGTTTCTTTCCAGTGCAATCAAGGTGCAAATTATGTATCTGAGTTTAGAATCAAAAGACTTTAAAAAATGAGATCCTTTTTTTTTACTTTGTGTAGATTCCTCCATCAGCATAAAATAATTGCAGCACGCTTTGTGGTTTGTCTTCCCTTTTCTTTGATATATCTGCTTTCTTTTTAATTATTTTTTAATTGTAAGCTGCCCAGAGTTGTGGTGGAGTCAGGCGGTCTCGACACTGAACTATTAAATGAAAATTACGCTTGTTTATTTATTTAGAGAACTAATATGGCTGCTTATCTGATGTACGTTACTCAGAATAGCTAACAACAAATAAACAAACAAATGGATATATTCAACAAAATACAAAGCAGAGTTAAAATCGTCAAAATGCAATAACTGAGACACCACAACAAGACTCACAATACAAGCCACACCTATGGGTTTAACTAACATCGCAATCCCTACCTGGTGTACAGCCAAAGAGCCTGGGATTAAATAATGATCAATTTGGTGTAGTGGTGAAGGTGTTAACCTAGAAACCAGGAGACAATGAGTTCAAGTCCCACATAAGGAATGAAAGCCAGCTGGATGACTTTGGGCCAGTTACCAGGAGATGGTGAGTTCAAGTCCCGTCTTAGCCATAAAAGCCAACTGGGTGACTTTGG